CTTTTTTCTTTAAACACAGAAACCCATGTCAAACACTGTCTTTTATCCCTCTTAATACTCAAATATTGCACTTTATTACCATGTTTATGAGTAGATTTGTGCATTCTGTCACAGGCTGTAATGAATCAGAAGGTTATGAACCTTCAGGGTTGCAGTTAATACCAAGTTTTCAAAACCTGAGATCTGTCATGAGAAGGGGGTGACCTGATTTTTGCTGCCTCTTTGGTCCTAATGAGATTTGCAGTCATAGAGCAAGTCAACAAAGCCCAGAGATCAAACAGAACACTGGGAAATGAACCATTTCTAATCAGCTACTTTTCCATTGCATAGGGACTTCCAATTGGTCAGAAAACTATTTCACTGATACAGCTGGTGTGGGACTAATTATCAAACAGAATTCGACCAACCTGCAAAGTAGGCAACAACCTATCCAGGAGCAGCTGAAAGAGCTTTTTGATCGAGACTGGAATTCCAAATACGCGGTGGATCTGGAAGATGTGCAGGGACAGAAAGACTGTAACTGGGAGGCAGACCCTGAAGTGAATTGAAATGTACATTTAAAATAAAAACAAAAAAAAGTTATTTGGATCTTGTTCATGTGCAAATCAAGGAACTCTCTTCTATTTGTCTTTGCCAGAGAAATCACTTTCTTGTGGCATCCACATTGAGGACATAAGAATTTCTGGTAGTTGACTCTACCTGCAAAACCATTAGTCAATGTGTGATGTTTGATTTTTTTTGTGTGCTTACCTCACTGCAGGTATGTTGTATGACAAGCTGTCTGGCATTAAAGCAAACATCAGAGACACAGATCATTATTGCTGTGCTATTTTATCTTTGGAAACCATGTATTTCAACCTAAATGTTCCATTAACAGTGTTTGCTTACATGTGTTTAAACATTTTTAATAAATTCCTGGCCACCTTAACATTTGAGCCATGTATGTCATCAACTACAATAGCAAGGGCAGATTCTTAAGAGCATTTAGAAATTAGAGATACAGGGAAATACCTAAGTGTTGAGGCTAGCTGGTAGAGATAAATGCCTGGGATTTAAACCTTGGGGCCAGTTTCCAACTTAGCTGCTTTGGAACCCCAAGTGCCTGGGGATGTTTGGATGTCTGGGTGTCTGGGCATCAAGCAGGACAGGGAAGCAGGGCAAAGCTGCTACATGGGTGCTCTTGAGGCTAGGACATCCCACCTGCACTGAGGGCAGTGCTTGGAGATCCTCCTCACTCCTTCTGGACTGCCCTGGTGCTGACCCTGAGCAGTGTTGTGTCTCTGGGCTGCCTTTCCTCCTGCAGTCACTCAGGGACCACAGCTGAGTCACCTGGTGCCTGATATCTGTATCCACCACAGCTCTGCCCTGGAAGACTTTCTGAAGTGACAGGAAAGGAGAGCAGTGCTCCAGCTGTGAGTGCTGTGAGTGGCTGGATGCTCCATCAGCCTTGCCAGGGCTGTGCATACACAAAAATCCCCACACAAATAAGGACTTTTAGAGGTGACCCCCATCAATGTTCCACTTTTTGGTTTCCAGGCTGCTCCTCAGCTATCTCTTCTGACACTTCCAAGATTCCTTGGAGTATCTTATCCATCATTACAAATCAATGTTTCTTGTTACTGTGGCAGTTTTTTAAGACATGTAGTTACATGTTCAGATATCACTGGAATTTTGGGAGTATTCACATACATGCCAAAATATGGAGGAACATGCAGGCGCTTTTCATGCTCTCATCCCCTATTTCCTTACTAGAGTTAGCTTTAAAATCTTGGTGAGACATTACATCTTCAACCAACAAATCAGTTTTCTGTAGAGGAGTGCATTCCTCTAGATGGCACTCCAAGCTGTGTTTTTCTCCTTTGGCCAGGACAGATATTGCAGGAAAAAGAAGAATATTTTCTCTTCTACTTGTGAGCTCAAATCTGACAGTGCTGGATTAGTTGTTCAGTGGGACAGAGTTTCTGGACAAGCTGTCAGAATTTTCTTATCACCATAAAAACCTCAGATGGGTTAAGGTTTGGCTTATAAAAGAAAAATAGACACTCAGGAGAGTGCTCTTCTATTTTCTCTATTGACATCACTGTTGGCTTTCCTCTACATATGGGGAGGTGAGAGGGGAGTACATTGTTAATACAATGAACTGGATCTACGAGGAACTTGAGATTATTTCCCTGGTTTCTCGTGAGACTTTTGAAGCCCATTCATACCTTGATTCTTATTTACTTGTTTTCTATTAGAAAGGTAGAATATCATCCAAGTTATAACCAGGCTTTGAGTCTTGATTATTTTCCATTTATGAAACAGTGTTAATAATAGTCCTTATCCATTCATGTCTTACTTATCTCTTTAATTTAGATTGTGATTTCTCCAAGTTAAGGACTGTACTAAATGTAAGCTGGGGCCTCCACTGGTATTTATTAGCATCATCCTTGGGCAGATTGGCTATTAGGAAAAGATTCTTTACCCAGAGGGTGGCTGGGCACTGGAAAGGCTCTCCAGGGAAGCTATCACATCAAGAAGCATTTGAACTACACTCTTGGACATGTGGTGTAATTCTTGGAGTTGTACTATGTAGTAGAGCCAGGAGTTGGACCTTGTGAGTCCCTTCTGACTCAGGATATTCTATCATTTTCTGGTCTGATGGCAGGCTGTTCAGATTTTTGTCAGTATTGGTTTATTCACGTCTAGAAAAAGGCTAAAAGCTAAAAGCTGGTTTATCTCCTGAGCATGGATACTCTCCTCTGGCCAGCTCATCTCAGGTACCTGTGTAATGAAGGAGTACAAGGTGTGTGAATTAGCTCTGCTCTGCTGGAGTGGCTTTCAGGAGGAGCTGCTGCACTGCTCTCCCAGCAGGATCACCTCTGGAAGCTCTTGGTTTGGTGCAGTGCCTTGTGGCTACAGTGCTGCAGCAGCAATGCAGATAACAGCAAGACAGAACCTAGCTGGCTCCATGGGTTATGAGTATTGCCAAGACCACAAAGTCACCTTAGACATCAGACACCAACTTGTTCCAAAAGCTTTAGTATTATCTGTTTAAATTTTCTCCTGCCATTACCCAGGATTTTTCTTTTCCAGTTTTTCCAGATAAAACATACATTTGCTGCTTTCATCTAGGTACTGAAAAAACATTTCATCTACCATTTATGCTGTATCAGGATACACATAATTTCTTGGCAGTCATTAATATCTCCATAATTGCTAGAGGATAGCTCTTGGGTTGTGGGTGCTGACTCACAGACCTCTGCTCTTTACACAGGCCCAGAAAAGTCAGCTTTAGTTGCAGGGTGGATTGTGGTGGTGCAGCTTCCTGAGGAGGGGAAGTGGAGAGGGAGGTGCCAGTTATTTCTTCCTGGTATCTAGTAACAGGATGTGTGGGAATAGTCCAAAGTTGCATCAGGGGAGGTCCATACTTGACACTAGGAAACATTTCCTTACCAAGAGAGTGGTCGAACACTAAACCAAACTTATCTTGAGAGGTGTTCAATGCCACAAGCCTATCAGTGTTCAAGAGGCATTTGGACAATGCCCTTAATAATTTAATGTTTTTCCTATGTTTTGGTCATTCCTAAAGTGGGCAAGCAATTGGACTGAATTGTTATTGTGAGCCCCTTTCAATTAACTATTCTATTCTCTTCTATTCTGAATGTCTTTAAAGTGAAACAGGATTAGATCAGAGATAAGGAAAGAATCTTTACTGTGAGGGTGCTGAGGCCCTGGCACAGGTTGCCCAGAGCAGCTGTGGCTGCCCCATCCCTGTGAGAGTTTAAGGCCAGGCTGGATGGGGCTCTGAGCAAGCTGGGCCAGTGGAAGGTGTCCCTGCCCATGGCAGGGGGTTAGAGCTGGGTGATCTTTAAGGTTCCTTCCTTCCCCTTAACATTCTATGATTCTATGATGTAGAAATGAACATCCCAATCTACATGTGGTTAGACATCCAAGCACATTTCACTTACAACCCATTTCCTCAGTGTTTTGCTGTGTCTGCTTTCCTGTACTAAGTAGAATAAGGAGAAATATGGGATGAGAAAACAATGAATCATGTCTGCACTTGTCATTCTGGAGAGAGGATCTTGTGAATGAAGTGGTGATTGCAGCCATCTTGGCCACAGAGACCACAAAGAAATTGAGTTTAAAATCTCTGCTGACAGGAGGAAAAGGGACAACAAAACTTCAGCTCTGGACAGGAGGAGAGCCAACTTCAAGTTGCTCAGGGAACTAGTGAGTAAAGTCCTCTGGGAAAATGTTTCTGTATTTGAGGGGATTCTCCTGCTCCTCTCTGTGCTGGGGCAGCTTCACCTGGAATCCTGTGAGCAGTTTTGGGTGCCACAATAAAAAAAATACATTTGAGAGCATCCAAAAGAGGCCCCAAGGACGATGAAAGATCTGGAGAGGAAGCTGTATGAGGAGTGGCTGAAGTTGTTTGGTCTGTTCAGCCTGGAGGAGACTGAGGGGAGAGCTCATTGAGGTCTTCAACATCCTCATGAAGGGAAGCAGAGGGGCAGGTACCAATCCCTTCACTCTTGTGGCCAGTGACAGGACCTGAGGAAATGGCTGCAGCTGAGTCATGAGTGGTTTAGGATGGATTTTAGGAAAAGGATTTTCACCCAAGCAGTGTTTGAGCACTGGAACAGACTCCCCAGGGCAGTGGTCACAGCACCAAGTCTGACAGAGTTCAAGAACCCTTTGGACAATGCTCTCAGGCAAGTATTGTGAGTCTTGGGGTGTCCTATGCAGGGCCAGGAGTGGGATTCAAGAATCAATTCAATTCAACAATTCAAGAATTCAAGGTTCCTTTTGACTGAACATATTCTATGATTCAACTTGGGATTGTAATGAGTGAAAAGTCTCCATTACCCCTATATTTAGGAACTGTGCTGTCATTAAGCATTCACCTCAGCAGACAGTGAAGTACATGTAAAGTTTTGCAAATTTAAGCTGGGATTTTCAGAATCAGAAATGTCAGTAAGTCATGCTACTCAAGTTATTATTTGTATGGTGAGTTTATTGTGAATTAAGAATACAGGCAGTGTTTTAATGGTACATGTGAAGGCTGTCACATATGCACTTTGGTTTTCATTGTGCACTTGAGAGAAGCATTAATATAAACAAAGGAGCAAATAATTATATACACCTCCTTTCCCAGAAAATCTCTGAAGCAATTCCACCAGTGTGACAGATCATTCTAAGCATTTAACTATCCCATAAGTATATACATTAAAATTTCTTTATCCACATTTGAGTAATATTCTTTGGAAGCATGTTTTATTCTGGTATCTTACAAACAAGAATTAGTTCCATGTTTTATGGTCTTAAAATAATTCTGTTGGTTTTTGCTGTTTTTTTGGTTTTTTCAAATTATCATATGGCTAAATAGGACCCACCACAATAATAAAAAAATGAGAAGAGAGGAAGAGGCAAAGCATTAGTCTCTCTACACTAGTATTTAATTTTTATCTTGTATTTTAAAGTGTTTGTGGAATATACATACTACCTTAGCTGAAATAAAGAAAAACATTTTAATAACAAAGCAAAAATAGATTAGAAAGTTCCAAAATCTAAACAGGTAAGTATAGTTCTCATAGTACAAGTTTAGAATCCATTCTGGAAATAATCTGCAATCTAAATATAACTGATGTGTTTTGAGAAGCCTCTTTAACAAGTCTTTTGCTATCATTGAGCCTTTCAATGATTTACTTTCATGGTTCTGGTATCTGCTCAGACTTTACTCAAACTATGGGCTCTGTCATAACAGCACCTGTCATAACTTTTGCCCTTGGGGTAGATATGAAGAAATCACTATTTTTATTAGTGTACAATCTAGTACATACATATACTTGAAAATCTGAATGTGGTAAATTCTGTTCAAGTGTTTTCATGAATACCAGCCTTGGGTTTAAATTTTCAGTTACTAGAAAATCAGGAAAACATTCTCTTCTGTATATACAGATGATTTTGTTTTCACTGAGGATTGAGAAAATGCAACCTTCATTTGGTTGTATCTCCAGCAATATTAGATTTACTATCTTTTTCTTCCTCCAACAAGATTAGTTCAGTTCTTGCTGAAGATGTCACAATAGACGAGGCCCCATCAATTTCAGCTTTTTCACCTTCTCCTATCTCTTTAGGTGATAAGCTTTCTTGTGCATCAAAAAACACATCTGGTTTATCTGTTGGGCTATCTTCATCTGAGAGTCTCCCCTCTTTATGACCCACCTCTTCTTTGTCAACAAACTTAGCCTTTTTAGAAGGAGATGTGAAACCAAGCTTGGGAAATCTAAACCATCCAGTTTTTTCAGCCTGCTTAGCAGAATCATCCGATGTGTCAGCAGGTTTCACATCTTCTGGAACTGATTTTTTTATTTCTGGTTTTGCATCTGTGCTTGTTTCATCCCCAGAAGAAGAAAAGCCAATACTTGGAAGCCAAAATTTGAATCTTCCAGGAGATCTTTTACTATCAGTCTTTTCTTTCTCATTCGTTATGTCTTTTTCTTCACCTTCCACTGCTTCAACTACATCTTCATCTTCAGAGAGGGGAGCTGCAGTTATTTCCTGAGGGGGTGTATCAGGAAAACTCTCTTCCAGTTTACTGGAACACTTTACTTCAGCAGCAGATGTTTTCAACTTTGTCAAACTTACTTTTCCTCTAGATTCTTCAGACTCACAGTGTGGTTTGTCAGATAGTTTAAGCTCAGCACTGCCAGTTCTCTTGGCTGCTACTCCAAAGCTTTCACCAGCACCTGTAGGTTTTCTCACTGATTCACCTCCTGTTGGAGATGGCTGCTGGACCACCACGTCTAAATCGCTGTGTGATTCAGGCAACTTTGCCTTAAGCAATGAGAATCCCAAAGCAGCAGTTTTGACTTCTGATGACAGAACCTCTGATTCTTTCAGTATTTCAGTAGTGTAAATCTCACACCGCTCAATAGCAACATGTTCAGGTTCTACTTTCTCACTTACTTCTTGGCCCTCTATATAAGACCAATGAATGTCTTGCCCTGCATTTGAAAGGGAGGACTCTATGGTAGCTGTCATTTGTGCTGTTTTAATGTCAGGTTCAGTCAGCATTAAAATTTTGCTTTTTGCTTTTTGAATACCTCCCTCTGGAGTTCCTGGTGTTTCTTCAGGGATAGCAGAGCTTGCTTGCAGTTGCACTATTTCAGTGTCAGTACTAGATCCCTTTGGATCTGTTGCTACTTTTGACAGTAAAACATCAGCTTCAATTGGAAGAGTTCTGAAAGTGAATCTTGGTATTCTTAGTTTGGGAATTCTTACACTTACTTCTGGGACACCTTGTGTTTGGTCTACTGTTTCCCCTGTTACTCTGGTGGCTGCTTCTATATCATCTAGAGCTGGACTTTTCAGGCCAGTTGATCCTTCCGGTTTTTTTAACTGCATTTCTGCTGTGCCTCTTTCACTTCTAGGTGCTGAATCAGCTTCTGACTTTGGCAAACTGATATCATCTTCAAACCCCTTGATTTCTGAATGCAATATTCCAAACTTTGGAATCTTAAACTTGTATGCTTTAATTTTACTTGTTTCTGTTCTGTCTTCTACTTGCACTTCCACTCCTGCAGACACATCCTTTTCAACACTTTTCACTTGAAATTTCATTTCAGGATCTACTCTAGTAATTTTAACATCTGTCTTCACTGTTGGAACTTCTACCTTTAGGTCTTCCAGCTTAGCAGTAACGTAAGTACCATCTTCTGATCCTTTTGTTGTAGACCATTCACATATAGTCCTTTTTAATTTACTTTCTTCACTGTCTTTTCCTATGATTTTCACCTCGTCCTTTATCTTTCCTTTTTTAATTGTCATCTCTTTATTTTGAATATCTAGCTCTTCCTTTGGAAGACTAACATCTATTTCCTTCTGTGTTACATCCAGGGTAATTTCAGCTGATGATGGTTTGCATCCTACCCCTGATGTCTCTAACTTCATGGAACTTTCTACCTTTGCGACTTCTATATCCCATGATTTGCCTTTATGCTCTGGAAACGTCAGAGTACGTGTAGGAAACCTATTTATTGAACTCTTTTCTTTGTCAGTTTCTGAAGCACTTGGGTATGATTTAGGCAATTCTTCTGCAGACACAGTGATTTCTGAAGTATGTCCTTCAGCACTGCGCTTAACTACATCTGCATAAGTTTCAGTTTTTGGAATATTCACTCTACTGTCTGTTCTTTCTGTGGATAATGAAATATCTCCTTCCATCTTTGGCAAACAAGCATCAGAACATTTCACAGAATCTCCTAATTTTTGAATCCCTTCTTTTCCAATAGTAATTTCAGCAACTGCATGCGGTAATGAGAAGGTATTTTCAGGAATACTTGTTTCAGTTTGTACTTTAGCAGAAGGAATAGCTGCCTGAACTTTTTCCATACTTCTTTCAATATCAACATTACTTTTTTTTTCTTTTAAGGATGACCTCCCAAATGCAGGTATTCTGAATTTTGGCATTTTAAACCATCCCTGATATTCTTCAGTCTGAACTTCTTCAGCTTTTATTTCATTTTCTTTCAATTTGATTTCCTTCTCCTCAAGACTCTCAATAACTCCCTCTGGTTTTGGTTTAGACACTGACTGGATGCTTATGTCTACCTTTGCATCTTCAATGCCACCCATCAGAGCTTGAGGTGTTTTTATCTTACCATCAACTACTCCAGGATCTGACATATCAGATGTAAGTTCTGATGCTGGAACTCCCACAGCAATGTCAGCAATTTTGTTTGTTGTTCTTAGCTGGGGTAGCTCAGTTTCTATTTTTGGGGAGCTGATCTCTGTGTCGGGGACTTTCCCTTTTGTTAGGGAGATTCCAAACTTTGTCTTCTGGAATTTGGGCATTTTAATCTTCCCTTCAGGACCTTCCAATTTCACTTTTCTTCCATCCACAACTGATGAGCTTTCTGTTAATATATCAGGGCTCTTCAAATCAACTGAAGCTTCTCCTTTGGGGAGCTTAATACCTGTTTTTTGAATGTTACATTCATTGGTGGAACTTGAAATTAAGTTAACCTGTTGAAAACTCCCCTCTGAGAGAGTCAAAGAATCATCAATCTTTGCTGAGCTGACTGTTATTTCAGTTTTGGAGGCTTCAGTTTCTACTCTGGAAAACTCCAGAGTGTGGACCATAGTGTCAGACAGTTTTATGCTTATTTGTGCCTCTTCTTCAGTCCCTTCAGGATGACTTTTTTCTATATCAGGTATCTTAATTGAATCATCACCTTCTATTTCTGTTTTAGGAAGAGTAGCATCAGCTTCAACTTTTGGTGAATGAGACTGAGATTTTGGAACCTTGATCTTGGAGAGTGAAATTTTAGGCATGACAAACTGTGGCTTTTTAACTGGACTTTTTTGTTCAACTTTTCCTGCAGATATTTCCAGATCAAGGTCTGGCCCACTACCTTGATCATCAGTTGCAGTTCCTTTTACTTCTGTGTCTATTCTGCTTGACATGACAGTGAGCTTTTGATCTTCCAAATTTGCTCCAGGATCTGATTTAACACTTGCTTCCTTCTTTGGTGACCAACTGAAGGATGGAAGTTTGAATTTGGGCATTTTGAAATGTCCTTCTTTCTCTTCTTCATCTCCATCTTGCTTTATTTCCTTCTTGATCTTTACTGCTGCATCTGAATCCTGAATATCACTGTCTGTTTTTGGAATAGAAATGTCAGCTGATGGGAGGTGAAAATCAGCCTCTGATGCCTTATTGTCAGGTTTAGTAATTTTGGCTTCAGGGCTGTAAGTCTCTGTTTCTGTGCCACATTCCACCTCCAAGTCTGGTGCTTCAACAGCAATGTCAGATATTTCTACCATTGCTTTTAGCTGGGGAACCTTGACTTCTGATTTCGATTGGCCAACATCCTTTTGTGATCCTTTCCCTTTAGAAAGTTTAATTCCTACTTTTGGCATTTGGAATTTAGACATTTTTGTTTTCCCTTCAGAACCTTCAGCTTTTATCTCTACATCACCCACAGCAATTTCACTTGATGTTCTTTCAACGCTTATGTCAGGACTCTTCACCTCAAGCGAACCTTCAGGTATCATCTTAATATCTGAGGTGGAGAGGCTGGCACTAGCAGCAACTGATTTCAGTCTTCTCAGCTCATCTTCTTCACAGGCAGGAGCTGTGACCTCACCTGTAGGCATGCTAATATCCATCTCCATTTTGGGAGCTTTGGCTTCTGGTTTAGAAAATTCCAAAGTTGGGGCTGTAACTTTTGGCACTTTTATGCCCAGTCCTGCCCCTTCTCCACTACTCCCTTTCTCAGACTTCTGAACAGAAACACCTTCTTTTTCTTGTTTGGATCCAGAAACATCAGTTTCCAGTACAGGCAGAGAGACCTGTACTTTCTGACCCTTCATTTTAGGGAATGAGATCTTTGGCATGGCAAATTGGGACTTCTTGGTTTTGAACTTTTCACCATCTTTTTCTGTTGTATCAAATTCTTCATGGATGTATTGATTCTCAGGAGCAGGAAAAGTTAATTCAGATTCCATGTCTCCAGATAAAGTATACAAAGTGGGTCCTTCTAGATGCTCCTCAACATGAGAAGAAGCAACAGCTTCTTTCTTTGGTGACCACCTAAATGAAGGTAGTTTGAATTTTGATGATTTAAATTTGTTTTCTTTCTCCTCAGTACCCCTCTCTTCTGTAATTACTTCCTGTTCTGCCTTGCACTTTAAATCTGGGCAATGGATTTCTGCTTCTAATTTTGGCAAGGTAACCTCCATGGGTAAGGGATTTGGATCCATTGTTGGTGTATCCAGAACAACTTCAAGTGAAGGCTTATGCAACTTTACACCAAGCTGGGCATCAGAGATTTGAGCTGGGTTTTCAGTATCAGGATCAGTCATATCAGATGTTATCCTTCCCTTGCTAATTTCAGATTCCACACTAGAAGCCATGTCACTTTCAGATGCTTTTCCCTTAGATCGAATTCTGAATTTTGGTCTTCGGAATTTATGGATTTTAACTGTGACCTCTGTGTCAACCAGAGATGTTGCAGCAGATGTTGTTTTCCCCTCTAGCTTTAAACCACCTTGCTCCTCAAAACCATCGTCACTTAAAATTTCAAAATCTGAAAGATTTTCATCAGCATGAGATGCTACTTTTGAGTGAGATTCTGTAAGATTACTTTGATATTTAGTAAGAGTAATATCATCCCCCTTTTCTAATGAGGACTCCAGATCAGTTTTTGATGAAGTCACTTCAGCTTTAGAGAAACCAATGCCATGTACTTTGAATTTGGTACTTTTAGATACACCCTCTCCCTTAATGTCAGGCAAACATTTATATCCATCATTCTCAGAAGAAACAGAAAAAGCTTCCTCTGTTAAAGAATGAGTTTTGGAAACAGAAACATCAAGCCCAGATAGCTTTTGTCCAGGAGGTTTGAAACTTTTAGAAAGGGAAATTTTAGGGATTCGAAATACAGGAGATTGAGATTTACCAAATTCCTCCTCTTTACAAGCAGAAGACTGCAGCGAAACACCAGAAATGGGAGACTGGACATCAGAGTCAGGCAACGATATATCCAATACCGGGACTACCGAGGGCACCGTCACTTCAGGCTCCTTGAGACTGACATCTACCTCGGCGGCCACAGTGCCCTTGGCCTCTCTGCTGCTGGACCAGCCAAAGGAAGGCATGCCGAACTTGGGCATCTTGAACTTGCCGTCCTTGGTCTTGGTGGCCTCCTTCTCTGGGACTTTGGCTTCTCCTTCCACACTAAGGGTGGCCTCAGGCGCCTGCAGGTCAATGCTGGCCTGTGGAAGGGTGACGTCGACGGAGGGCAGGCTGACGTCCACCTTGGGAGCTTTGATGTCAGCTTTGGGCATCTTGAGGGAGGGCTTCTCCAGCTTCCAGCCAGCGCCTTCCGTCTTGGCACCGGGGACGTCGGCTTTGACACCCAGCCCCGGGCCCTCTCCTGCGGCTGTCACGCTGGCAGAGGGGAGGTCGACCTCTGCGCTGGGCACGCTGATCTCGGCTGCGGGCAACTCGGCCTTGGGGGAGGAGACTGAGAATTTGGGCTTGTCAAATTTGGGCATCTTGAGTTTGCCTTTCAAGCCGGTACCTTCCAGCTCGAGCTTGCCTTCGGCGCAGGGCGCTTTGAGGTCTACGTCGGGCGCCTGGAGCTCAAGGGAGCCTTGGACAGAGGGCAGCTTGATGTCGGGGGCCGCGATGCTGACGTCAGCATCGGTGGCCTTGAGCTCTGCCTGTGGGAGGCCAACGTCTGCATCCAGTTTGGGAGATTTGACAGTGGGCTTGGAGAAGACCACGCTGGGCACCTTGACTTTGGGCATGTGTATTTTCATGCCGCCTCCCTCAGCTTTGCCAGCAGCCACCTCCAGGCTGGCTTCGGCCTCGGGGCCTTGAAGGGTGACTTCACCCTCCTGGCTTTTGGGCAAGGAAACCTCAGCCTTGGGCAGGCTGATCTGCGCCTGGGGACCTTTGACTTTGGGCAGCTTGACGCTGGGCATCTTGACGTCGGGCATCTTGAATCGGCCTTTCTCGCCCTCTGCTGCTACAGCCACGGTCTCGACCGTCGCCTCCACGCCGGGCGCTTGGATGTCCGCTGAGGGCAGCGTCACGTCCGCTTCGGCGGCTGCCGAGGGCACCGTCACTTCAGGCTCCTTGAGACCGACATCTACCTCGGCGGCCACAGTGCCCTTGGCCTCTCTGCTGCTGGACCAGCCAAAGGAAGGCATGCCGAACTTGGGCATCTTGAACTTGCCGTCCTTGGTCTTGGTGGCCTCCTTCTCTGGGACTTTGGCTTCTCCTTCCACACTAAGGGTGGCCTCAGGCGCCTGCAGGTCAATGCTGGCCTGTGGAAGGGTGACGTCGACGGAGGGCAGGCTGACGTCCACCTTGGGAGCTTTGATGTCAGCTTTGGGCATCTTGAGGGAGGGCTTCTCCAGCTTCCAGCCAGCGCCTTCCGTCTTGGCACCGGGGACGTCGGCTTTGACACCCAGCCCCGGGCCCTCTCCTGCGGCTGTCACGCTGGCAGAGGGGAGGTCGACCTCTGCGCTGGGCACGCTGATCTCGGCTGCGGGCAACTCGGCCTTGGGGGAGGAGACTGAGAATTTGGGCTTGTCAAATTTGGGCATCTTGAGTTTGCCTTTCAAGCCGGTACCTTCCAGCTCGAGCTTGCCTTCGGCGCAGGGCGCTTTGAGGTCTACGTCGGGCGCCTGGAGCTCAAGGGAGCCTTGGACAGAGGGCAGCTTGATGTCGGGGGCCGCGATGCTGACGTCAGCATCGGTGGCCTTGAGCTCTGCCTGTGGGAGGCCAACGTCTGCATCCAGTTTGGGAGATTTGACAGTGGGCTTGGAGAAGACCACGCTGGGCACCTTGACTTTGGGCATGTGTATTTTCATGCCGCCTCCCTCAGCTTTGCCAGCAGCCACCTCCAGGCTGGCTTCGGCCTCGGGGCCTTGAAGGGTGACTTCACCCTCCTGGCTTTTGGGCAAGGAAACCTCAGCCTTGGGCAGGCTGATCTGCGCCTGGGGACCTTTGACTTTGGGCAGCTTGACGCTGGGCATCTTGACGTCGGGCATCTTGAATCGGCCTTTCTCGCCCTCTGCTGCTACAGCCACGGTCTCGACCGTCGCCTCCACGCCGGGCGCTTGGATGTCCGCTGAGGGCAGCGTCACGTCCGCTTCGGCGGCTGCCGAGGGCACCGTCACTTCAGGCTCCTTGAGACCGACATCTACCTCGGCGGCCACAGTGCCCTTGGCCTCTCTGCTGCTGGACCAGCCAAAGGAAGGCATGCCGAACTTGGGCATCTTGAACTTGCCGTCCTTGGTCTTGGTGGCCTCCTTCTCTGGGACTTTGGCTTCTCCTTCCACACTAAGGGTGGCCTCAGGCGCCTGCAGGTCAATGCTGGCCTGTGGAAGGGTGACGTCGACGGAGGGCAGGCTGACGTCCACCTTGGGAGCTTTGATGTCAGCTTTGGGCATCTTGAGGGAGGGCTTCTCCAGCTTCCAGCCAGCGCCTTCCGTCTTGGCACCGGGGACGTCGGCTTTGACACCCAGCCCCGGGCCCTCTCCTGCGGCTGTCACGCTGGCAGAGGGGAGGTCGACCTCTGCGCTGGGCACGCTGATCTCGGCTGCGGGCAACTCGGCCTTGGGGGAGGAGACTGAGAATTTGGGCTTGTCAAATTTGGGCATCTTGAGTTTGCCTTTCAAGCCGGTACCTTCCAGCTCGAGCTTGCCTTCGGCGCAGGGCGCTTTGAGGTCTACGTCGGGCGCCTGGAGCTCAAGGGAGCCTTGGACAGAGGGCAGCTTGATGTCGGGGGCCGCGATGCTGACGTCAGCATCGGTGGCCTTGAGCTCTGCCTGTGGGAGGCCAACGTCTGCATCCAGTTTGGGAGATTTGACAGTGGGCTTGGAGAAGACCACGCTGGGCACCTTGACTTTGGGCATGTGTATTTTCATGCCGCCTCCCTCAGCTTTGCCAGCAGCCACCTCCAGGCTGGCTTCGGCCTCGGGGCCTTGAAGGGTGACTTCACCCTCCTGGCTTTTGGGCAAGGAAACCTCAGCCTTGGGCAGGCTGATCTGCGCCTGGGGACCTTTGACTTTGGGCAGCTTGACGCTGGGCATCTTGACGTCGGGCATCTTGAATCGGCCTTTCTCGCCCTCTGCTGCTACAGCCACGGTCTCGACCGTCGCCTCCACGCCGGGCGCTTGGATGTCCGCTGAGGGCAGCGTCACGTCCGCTTCGGCGGCTGCCGAGGGCACCGTCACTTCAGGCTCCTTGAGACCGACATCTACCTCGGCGGCCACAGTGCCCTTGGCCTCTCTGCTGCTGGACCAGCCAAAGGAAGGCATGCCGAACTTGGGCATCTTGAACTTGCCGTCCTTGGTCTTGGTGGCCTCCTTCTCTGGGACTTTGGCTTCTCCTTCCACACTAAGGGTGGCCTCAGGCGCCTGCAGGTCAATGCTGGCCTGTGGAAGGGTGACGTCGACGGAGGGCAGGCTGACGTCCACCTTGGGAGCTTTGATGTCAGCTTTGGGCATCTTGAGGGAGGGCTTCTCCAGCTTCCAGCCAGCGCCTTCCGTCTTGGCACCGGGGACGTCGGCTTTGACACCCAGCCCCGGGCCCTCTCCTGCGGCTGTCACGCTGGCAGAGGGGAGGTCGACCTCTGCGCTGGGCACGCTGATCTCGGCTGCGGGCAACTCGGCCTTGGGGGAGGAGACTGAGAATTTGGGCTTGTCAAATTTGGGCATCTTGAGTTTGCCTTTCAAGCCGGTACCTTCCAGCTCGAGCTTGCCTTCGGCGCAGGGCGCTTTGAGGTCTACGTCGGGCGCCTGGAGCTCAAGGGAGCCTTGGACAGAGGGCAGCTTGATGTCGGGGGCCGCGATGCTGACGTCAGCATCGGTGGCCTTGAGCTCTGCCTGTGGGAGGCCAACGTCTGCATCCAGTTTGGGAGATTTGACAGTGGGCTTGGAGAAGACCACGCTGGGCACCTTGACTTTGGGCATGTGTATTTTCATGCCGCCTCCCTCAGCTTTGCCAGCAGCCACCTCCAGGCTGGCTTCGGCCTCGGGGCCTTGAAGGGTGACTTCACCCTCCTGGCTTTTGGGCAAGGAAACCTCAGCCTTGGGCAGGCTGATCTGCGCCTGGGGACCTTTGACTTTGGGCAGCTTGACGCTGGGCATCTTGACGTCGGGCATCTTGAATCGGCCTTTCTCGCCCTCTGCTGCTACAGCCACGGTCTCGACCGTCGCCTCCACGCCGGGCGCTTGGATGTCCGCTGAGGGCAGCGTCACGTCCGCTTCGGCGGCTGCCGAGGGCACCGTCACTTCAGGCTCCTTGAGACCGACATCTACCTCGGCGGCCACAGTGCCCTTGGCCTCTCTGCTGCTGGACCAGCCAAAGGAAGGCATGCCGAACTTGGGCATCTTGAACTTGCCGTCCTTGGTCTTGGTGGCCTCCTTCTCTGGGACTTTGGCTTCTCCTTCCACACTAAGGGTGGCCTCAGGCGCCTGCAGGTCAATGCTGGCCTGTGGAAGGGTGACGTCGACGGAGGGCAGGCTGACGTCCACCTTGGGAGCTTTGATGTCAGCTTTGGGCATCTTGAGGGAGGGCTTCTCCAGCTTCCAGCCAGCGCCTTCCGTCTTGGCACCGGGGACGTCGGCTTTGACACCCAGCCCCGGGCCCTCTCCTGCGGCTGTCACGCTGGCAGAGGGGAGGTCGACCTCTGCGCTGGGCACGCTGATCTCGGCTGCGGGCAACTCGGCCTTGGGGGAGGAGACTGAGAATTTGGGCTTGTCAAATTTGGGCATCTTGAGTTTGCCTTTCAAGCCGGTACCTTCCAGCTCGAGCTTGCCTTCGGCGCAGGGCGCTTTGAGGTCTACGTCGGGCGCCTGGAGCTCAAGGGAGCCTTGGACAGAGGGCAGCTTGATGTCGGGGGCCGCGATGCTGACGTCAGCATCGGTGGCCTTGAGCTCTGCCTGTGGGAGGCCAACGTCTGCATCCAGTTTGGGAGATTTGACAGTGGGCTTGGAGAAGACCACGCTGGGCACCTTGACTTTGGGCATGTGTATTTTCATGCCGCCTCCCTCAGCTTTGCCAGCAGCCACCTCCAGGCTGGCTTCGGCCTCGGGGCCTTGAAGGGTGACTTCACCCTCCTGGCTTTTGGGCAAGGAAACCTCAGCCTTGGGCAGGCTGATCTGCGCCTGGGGACCTTTGACTTTGGGCAGCTTGACGCTGGGCATCTTGACGTCGGGCATCTTGAATCGGCCTTTCTCGCCCTCTGCTGCTACAGCCACGGTCTCGACCGTCGCCTCCACGCCGGGCGCTTGGATGTCCGCTGAGGGCAGCGTCACGTCCGCTTCGGCGGCTGCCGAGGGCACCGTCACTTCAGGCTCCTTGAGACCGACATCTACCTCGGCGGCCACAGTGCCCTTGGCCTCTCTGCTGCTGGACCAGCCAAAGGAAGGCATGCCGAACTTGGGCATCTTGAACTTGCCGTCCTTGGTCTTGGTGGCCTCCTTCTCTGGGACTTTGGCTTCTCCTTCCACACTAAGGGTGGCCTCAGGCGCCTGCAGGTCAATGCTGGCCTGTGGAAGGGTGACGTCGACGGAGGGCAGGCTGACGTCCACCTTGGGAGCTTTGATGTCAGCTTTGGGCATCTTGAGGGAGGGCTTCTCCAGCTTCCAGCCAGCGCCTTCCGTCTTGGCACCGGGGACGTCGGCTTTGACACCCAGCCCCGGGCCCTCTCCTGCGGCTGTCACGCTGGCAGAGGGGAGGTCGACCTCTGCGCTGGGCACGCTGATCTCGGCTGCGGGCAACTCGGCCTTGGGGGAGGAGACTGAGAATTTGGGCTTGTCAAATTTGGGCATCTTGAGTTTGCCTTTCAAGCCGGTACCTTCCAGCTCGAGCTTGCCTTCGGCGCAGGGCGCTTTGAGGTCTACGTCGGGCGCCTGGAGCTCAAGGGAGCCTTGGACAGAGGGCAGCTTGATGTCGGGGGCCGCGATGCTGACGTCAGCATCGGTGGCCTTGAGCTCTGCCTGTGGGAGGCCAACGTCTGCATCCAGTTTGGGAGATTTGACAGTGGGCTTGGAGAAGACCACGCTGGGCACCTTGACTTTGGGCATGTGTATTTTCATGCCGCCTCCCTCAGCTTTGCCAGCAGCCACCTCCAGGCTGGCTTCGGCCTCGGGGCCTTGAAGGGTGACTTCACCCTCCTGGCTTTTGGGCAAGGAAACCTCAGCCTTGGGCAGGCTGATCTGCGCCTGGGGACCTTTGACTTTGGGCAGCTTGACGCTGGGCATCTTGACGTCGGGCATCTTGAATCGGCCTTTCTCGCCCTCTGCTGCTACAGCCACGGTCTCGACCGTCGCCTCCACGCCGGGCGCTTGGATGTCCGCTGAGGGCAGCGTCACGTCCGCTTCGGCGGCTGCCGAGGGCACCGTCACTTCAGGCTCCTTGAGACCGACATCTACCTCGGCGGCCACAGTGCCCTTGGCCTCTCTGCTGCTGGACCAGCCAAAGGAAGGCATGCCGAACTTGGGCATCTTGAACTTGCCGTCCTTGGTCTTGGTGGCCTCCTTCTCTGGGACTTTGGCTTCTCCTTCCACACTAAGGGTGGCCTCAGGTGCCTGCAAGTCAACACTGGCCTGTGGAAGGGTGACATCGGCAGAGGGCAGGCTGATGTCCACCTTGCCAAGTTGGATGTCTGATTTTGTAACTTCTGATATTTCATATTTTGATTTTTTATTGATTTCGCTGTTCTGCATTTCTGTATCATTTTTCGTAATCGGTATTTTTCCCTTTGTGTCTTCGGTGTTAATTTTTATTGTAGAAGATTTCAATGTTGTTTTTTTTGGACTTGTCAATTTGCCTTTTTTCTTTTGGTTTATGTCATCCTGATCTTGTTGTCCTTTGGATATGCCTTCTTGTATTTCAGCATTTGGAACTGTTATTTCTTCTGTTGTTCCACTGAGCTGAAGCCCTTCTGCATATCCTAGGGTTATCACTTTTACTTCCCTTTCACTTATCTGTGCTTCAGCTTGGGCTGTTTCTTCCTTTGTAGTTGACCAGGTAAAGGTAGGAAATTTTAATTTTGGCAATCTGAATTTGCTTTCTTTCCCCTCTGTATCTTTTTCTCCTGTCTTCATTCCAATTTCTACATTTAAGGCTTTATCATTTGTGGGCATGCCATCTTCCTCTATTCCTTCCCTTTTTACCCTATCTTCTCTGTCCTCTCTGCTTTCTTCTCTTACTATTTTCATATCAGCTTTTGGTGTTTTCGCCACTTTGAATGATGGCATTTGTATTTTCCAAGTAGACACTTCTGATTCTGCATCTGGCATAAGAGATTTCACACTGAAATTCTTGCTGTCCTCTGAAGTCGTATCAGCTGTTTTGTCTGGTAATGATTGTGGATCATCACCTCCCTGTTTGGTGGCGTCAATCTCTGTGTCTTTTCTTTTGGGCATTGAAATTCCATAATTTTTTTTCTGAATATTTACTATCTGTATGTCCTCTTCTGCTTGATTTTCTCCTCTTTCCAGTGTGTCAGATGTCTGTAATTCTGCTTTAGCAGTACCTATTTCTAGGCCTTTTACCTGTACAGACCCTTTAGCTGTGTGACCCTTCAAGTCTGTGTTAATTCCACTTTCTTCGTCTTTTTTATCTGCTGTTCCTTTCTGTTTCTTTTTTCGGGATTTTGATGAGGCTTGTGGTGACTTTTTAGTTGGGCTTACTTTCAGATCAGGTGTTTCTAAGCTGGGCTTTGGTATCTCTATTGTTATGTCTGGTACTTCAGGTACACTAAATTTTGATGTTGCTTCCTTGTCTTTTTCTTTTTTAATGCTTATTTCAACCTCAGGGCATTGTTTTACTTGAGAGGGAATGCCATTTTTCATCTCTTTTAAGTCTTTTGTTAAAGTTTCATATCTCTCCCCTGTTTTCATTTCATAAGCAGAAGATGTGGTGTATTCAAGAGTTAAGATTTCAGGATTTTCCAGGCTTATATCATCTTTATGTATGTTTTCTCTTTCAGATATCAGTGTAGTTTTTATTTCTTTTTTTTGCTTCTCTTGGGGTTCTGGTTTGGATCTGTGCATTCTGAATCCAATGCTAGGGAACTTCAGCTTCCTTTGGCTTCCTTTCTTCTCTTTGGTATGGACTTCTTGTGGAAATTGACACTCTGTGTCTGTGCTTGTAGGGGAAATATCCTGTATAGCAGGCTCATATGCATCTGATGTACTATGAGATCTTCTGTGCCTCAATATCTTTTTATTTTTGATTGTTTGAAATTTCGGCCATGATAATCTATCTTTTTTAGGTCTCTTACTTCTTCCCAGCCTTTGGCTTACAATTAATGTTTCCCTGTCTTCTTCTGAAATGTCTTTTCCTGAAACATGCGGTGTTTCTTCAGGAATGCTGTCACTGAGTTCTTTTTCCTAAAAGAATAGTAGTCAGAAGATTACAAGTAACTTAAATATAGGTGCAACAGAAAAGAAAAAACATACTATAAAATAGTAGAAAAATGTTCTTCTTATTACTTGTATCCACTTGTTATATAAGAAAATTCCTGAAGATTATACAAATATGCATTGTCAAGCAGAAATTATGTAAAATAAATGGGCTGTATTATATGGATTTCTGAAGATTTTGATTCCTTGCAAAACACTGCAGTAAACAGAGGTTTCTATATATATATCTATAGATGTCTGTACAAATATATGTTATATATAGTATTTATATATACATATATGAGGAAAAAAATTTTTTAAATTAATGAAAACATATGAAGAGATCATAGGTCTATCAAAATATCAGTGGTTATATAAAATCTTAAGAAGGACCTGTGGATAAAAGTATTTACTGATATTTTACATTTTTGAACATACTGAATAGAAGTATTACAGAGATTACCCAAGTCTGTTCCATCAGCGGACAACTAACAATAAAAAAATGCTGACTCGCTAAAGAATATTTTTATACCCTAACACAAGATTGTGTATTAATGTAAAATCTATAGTCTCTTAAAGATATTTAAAAAGCTGCAAATATTGTGTGGGATTTCTTTTAATCATGAATATTCATGATACTAACTTTAAATACATATCTAAGTCTTAAGAAGACACAAGTGTTTTCTGATCTATTTCCACACCCCACATTACTGTAGTATGTTACCCAAACTTCGTAAATTAATCAGAATCTACCTGGCCTATCCTTTCCTTTTTGTGCTGAGCTGTAGAGTGTTCTAGATCTTCTTGCACAGCAATTTTTCTTTTGAGGCTGAATTGGACTCTGTATGGCTCAGAATATTGGAGAATCTTGAGTGCATCTTCATATTTGATATTATCAAAAAATATTGTGGCACTTAGAAGCTGATCACCTGCAAGTGGAATAATGCATAATTGTAATTACTTTGTGTTTTTTTATAGTTTTTTCAATTTTTTTTTTCATTTTAGCTTTTTTTTTTCACTGTTCCAGTGAAAACTGAGGTTTTTTATGGTATACAAAAAAATATCACATTTCATTATTGTTCAAGCCAGTGGTCTTAGAAATAATTAATATGGAGAGGTTAAGGTCACAGATAACATTAGTGGGTTTGAAATCTACTATTTCTGATACCTAAAGAGATGGCTATCACACAGCTAGAAATCTCATTATTTAAAGATACAGAATAAAATCAAAACAAAATAAAAAATCAGACTGTACCTTCTCTAAGACTAAATATTTTTGAAGCAGGAGATTCCTTAAGTACTTTTTTAATAAATATTCCTTCATTTCCTCCACCTTTCACACTAAAACCACTAGCACCAGCTTCCACTTCTGTTTTCAGGGTCACTTCCATTGTCTCCTAGAGATAGAAAAATAATTGAATTTATCATTTTTATTCATTTGTATTAAAGGGTTCTAAGTTGTTCTACAGTAAAGACTTTAGTCTCCTCAGGTGTATTTTCAATAGCTCAAGAAAGATTATCCAAAATAGAGAATATACTTAGTGTGGTTTTGATTCTGTTCTAAATAAGAATTAAGCACGTGTGTTAGGGTTATGTTGGATCAGGGCCATAGGGAAAATAGGTTATAATTTTAAAATGTGAAACATATGGAAACTATTAGGCCTGAAAGATTGTATTTTCTGTGAAGATGTTAACTACTCGCATTAAAGTCAATGGGCCAGAAAAGTCTGACTGGGAGCTAATGCTGTACTGCACTCAAATCAGAGAAGGGTGAAAAAAGAATTCTAAAAAGAATTATGGAAGAACCCCAAATAGGACAAATAAATGTTCATGCCTTTGCCACAACTCAGCCATTCATGAAGCTCCTGGTCAAAACAAATCCAAAGTCTTTACCCATTTATCCTTTCTTCTGACCACCTATTCACGTCTTTGTGTTATAACAAACTCTACTATTTATAAGGCTCATACCTGAAACTATGAAGTGCTTTTAGACTGACCTGTGGATGACTCTGTTTTGACTTGTCTGTAGAATGTTTTTTGTTTTCTTCTTGAAGCTGAAAAATATTTTTTAATTATTTAATGTTCAGAAGTCACAGTGTTCTTAAGTAAAATGAAAGTCAGTTAAAATTCCTGGTTTAGAGTAAGAACTGAGGCTGACTTTAATGGCAACAGAATAGAATCAGGATCAAATGCAATGTACAACATGAATGATTTAACTATACTATTCTCAGTAGTAAATTAGATGCTGAGGCCTCCCTTCATTGTACCAAAATTTGCATTAAATGAATGTCAGAGACCAAATTTCTGAAGATATTGCTTTTTTGTGTCCTAATATAGCATACTGTTCATGCTTTCAATTTTGTAAATGTACTTTTTTTTCACTTACTCAACTTCAGCCTGAATTTCAAATTGTTGCCTACTTAATGTGGCTGTAGTAATTAAATCCCTAACTCTGAATAACCTAGAGGTATAGGTAATTTTGAAATACTTATTAGGTAGATTCAAGCCAATTATGTTTTCTAACAGGAAAACCAGTGTAGTTTCTTTATGCTCTCTGCCTCGTATCCTTCACAGAATTAAGTCAAATGCATTTTCTTGCCAGGAAACAAGAACAGGGTTAGCAAGTCCAGCAGAAAATAAAACTATCAATGAACATAGATGCAATTTTGGTGGGGACAGGGAGGCAAAATGGCTGCAACAATGTCCCATTCTATGACATGTGACTCTCTGCTACTTGTGGGAGATAAAGCCTCTTGAATCAACTTGATAATGCCATGCCTACATGAAAATTCAATGTCTTGCCTTTAAATAGTCCTCTTCTATGGGATACTCAAAAACTGGAGAGGATCCCTGTGGCCTTGGACGAATGTCTTCTACTGCCACTTCATTAACCTGTGGAAAAGACATGAGGGATGGTAAAGGAGCATCCACCATTAAACAGTGACTTATTTTTTTAGGAGTGTTTCTCTAGTTATGCATAGTGTCCCTCTGAGTAAAAATTGTTCATTAGTGATGGTGGATAAAAAATAGCCAATATCTCTTTTTTTTAGGTTGAGAACAAATACAGTTCTCATGTTAAAGCACTCAAAAACACAAGGGACGGAGTTCTGAGAGACGAAAACCAGTGGTATGCTTCTTTTGATTTTCTTTATGTATCATATGCATCTACAGACTGAACAGACTGAAAAGAGATCAATTAGCAATAATTGAAAAAGTTTAAAAAGAAAAAAAAAAAAAATCCCTTTCCTGCTCTATTTGCACACATAAATTTGCATCCAATGGCTTCAAACTTTATTGCCTTCTATAAGCAAGCAAACCATGGAAGAGTCCCAGCAGGAATTTCTGCTGACAAGCACTTGGCATTCTTCCTTCTGCAGTCAGACAATAGGGAACCTAAACTGTCTAAATCTTTAAAGAAAAGTTACTGTAGTTAACAGCCATGTAATAGTTTGCTAAGTCTTGGTAGTAAATTTATGCCAATGGACCATGGCAAAGAACAGATGCCTTTACACAGGAACATCTTCCTGGTTTTTGAGCTGGCAGGACAATCCCAAGCTAAAATACAACATTTTTAATGGGAAGGAAAACCACCAGCAAGACTCAGCTATAAACAAAATATTTAAGATCCCATTTTGCCAAACTGTCATCACAGAAAAATTCAGCTCTAAAAAACTCACAGAATCTTCATCCTCTGCATCTGCATCGGCATCAGCATCTCCCGGGGGCTCAGCCGGTCTCAGCTGTCGTCCAGAACCTGAAAGCAGGACACAGGTTGGTGCCTGCAGGATCCACACAGAGCACAGAGCAGTCAGCTAGAAAGCTGAAACCTTCTGGAGCAGCATGGCAAGGGACATGCACAGGCCAGTGGGAAGGCCTGTCCCACATGAGATTCCTAGCATCACAGAATGGTTTGGGTTGGAAGGGACCTTAAAGATCATCTAGTTCTCCCTACTAGCCATGGGCAGGGGTTATAATCTGACTAACTTCTAGTTCTGGATTTTCTCCAATCTGGGGATTCTTCTCCTTCACAAAAGCCTTTACATTTCTGAATATTTCTGTATATTTGGAAAAAGAAAAGTAGTGACCATCTTCTGACCCCAGTCTCCTGCACCAAGCCCCCACCTTTCCAAAGGGACTGAATGTAGCCCACAATGAAGGCTTGGAGGGACTGGAGAACAGAAAAAGGGAAGGAGAGGTGTACAGAGGGAATCTGAAGTATTTTTCCCTGAGCTGTTCTATTCTTTAAAATATTAGAATCAGTAATTAACAGCTTGCTAATTCACAATAAATTAAATTGATTGAAATTCCTTATATTGAAACTCTTCCTCACTTCTGACAAAGGTCTTAACAACAGGAAAGTAAATGTCATGAACCTTGATAGTCATAAAGACTCTGTTTTCTTAGTTTTTAAAAGTATTGAGGGCAGACAGAGAGAGATGAGGTGAAGGAGATGGGCTATCTGAAAGTGTGATTCTCTTGAAATGCTTTAAATTGAGCACCAAAGAATGAAAACAGCATGAATTAGAACGTGTTTTCAGAGATCCAGGCTTAGCCAGTAGAGGACAGTGTGGCTGAACTACATATTCCCTAACGCACCAGCTGTTCACGAGCACAAGTCCTTGTCCCAATAACCATGTCTCTTTCCTGTCTCCATGCTTGTTTTTTCCAAGCCATCAGGCTGTCTAGCTCCCCGACACTCAGTTCTGCAACTGCCATTACTATACATAGTTTTGGCTCCCCTAAACAGATCATCTGGCATAAAAATATGCTCAAAAACAATTGTCTGTTTTAAATGGAGAATCCTTGGGCTGGAACACAAGATTTCTGGACATTACACACTCAGTGTGCAGACAAGATGGCACAACTTAGTCATGTCTGCAATCACTGACTTTCACATGCTGCCAAGCTCTTGTTAAAGTGGCTGGGATTTTGTTGGTCACTCCTCATAGTTTTCTGATCTACGTTTACTTTTTTCTTGATTTTTTTGAAGATGAAATTATATTGTACAGGCAAGGTTTTGAAAGGGTTATGCCCCAGTGATCAGTAATGGACTACTTTGTTAAGATGAATGGAAACAGTGAGCTTCCAGTAGGAATATCCTGTAACAGTCTCTGGGCCAACCTTCCAAACTTGATAAAATAGAAAGCAATCCTCATTAGCCATATGTACAGCATCATAATCAGCTCTCCTGCAGTACTCCAGCTCCAGGGAATTAGGATCAACCCAGAACACATCAGGGCTGCCAGACCATTCCTCCTTTAGCCTTCGCAGCACTAGTCCTGACACCTACAATGGACAATTCTAGCAAATTCTAGAAAATGGTTTTAATGCACATTTTAACTCAGATTAAAGACCTGCTTGAAATTTAGCTTGTTTTTTTTTTTCAAAAGCTCTAGCATTTGCAGTCTTCAGAAGCTCAAGAAAACTTATCTTATGAAAAGTTATCATAACTTTGTTAAAAACTTTAGACATGTATTTATGAACCTGTTTTTAAGCATTTCTGCTTGAAAATTCTGGAATCCATTCATGAAGCATTTCACCAAATGTATTTTAATAAGCATCATATGAGGAAGAGAGCTGCTGGATTGATGCTTGATTGTTTAATTTGTCAAGTGCTTCTAAAGGTTCAGGTGCCAACAATAAATTTTATGGCTGTTACTAAAATTCCAAGAAATAGTAAGGACTTAGGCTTGTGGCATTGCCATATTTTTCACTTGGGAGAATCCCACCCACAAGTGCTGCAGTCCAGTAGAATGACTTAACAGAAAATTGCTTGGATTGCTGGAGTATTTGCTCTTCAGTGCAGCACTTCAGCATTAACTACAGCATTGATCCCTGGTGGTTGCCAATAATTTTCCTACTGGAAAAGAAACAGGAAAGAATCATCTGTGAGACTTCTTAGGCTGGTTCACTGCAGTTTCTCTTGTTTTACTCTGATGTAACTTCAGTGACACTTTAGTAGTCTGGAACTGGAGCAATACAAGTACAGTACCTCTCCTAAACTCTGATAGTAGCGCCTTTTCCTAAAAGAATCAACCAACATATTACTGTCCCCAGGGCTAACAGAGACGTGGGTGAGATTGCAAGGAGGGGCACACAGATGACCTTCCCTCCCAAAGCTTCACACTGAGGCTTTTCCATCCACCCTAATTTCCCCAAACTCCGCCTAGGCTGCCCCTCTATGAGAGTTAACCCATGTCATAAAGGACTTGCTGTGCCCTTGATTCCTACCATAGACTAAGATTTGTTTCTGATTATTTCTTGATTCAGAATACTTTCAAAAGGAATCTATAAAAGAGGGGTATTACAGTACGTTTTCAGTAAAGCCTTCTTTCTGAGTAAAACAGCCTGTGCCAATAAACTGTGATTTATATGCATGTCATTCTCATGCCCTGAATAGTAGTGATGCCAACATTTTATAGATTTTAACTTTTTTTTATGGACCCTGGACAATCAATGCTTTGTTCAAAATGTTTTCATAAACAAGATGGAATTTACATCAGTGACTACTTCTAATAGCCACTGGACTGACTTCAGAACAAGGGAATTTTTTGAAAGTAAGCAGTAGGAGTTATATAGGCTGGATCATTTTCATATCATATGACTGAAATGTGTATCTGCTTTTTGAAATGCAAGTATTAAAAAATTATTTTATCTTTAGCCTAGCAACCTAGATGGACTGTTTAGGCAAAACCAGAAGGAAAACATAAAAACAGGGTTTCTTTTGGTATTCACATTCTATAGGCAACAGTCTCCAAAATTATATTTGATAAAATATAATGAATTCCAAGTATGACAGTGCCATTGAATTTAAATCAAATGTGCTTTAATGTATTGTATAAAGAGAAACCTAGTTTTAATTGGAACACTGGCATATAAAATTCCTGTGATCTGTATACTTTAAAATAAAATAAAACAGTACATGAGAATACCAGAGATGTTAATAAAGAAACAATGTATTTTGCTGATCATCCTAGCCTCTCTGCTTCCAGACTATAGCCCTTTCTCTGCAATTCTTAGATTTGTGTTTTTTGCTTTTTAAGATTTTGTACTAAAGTTATATTTGCATATGAATAGTGAATTTAAGTAATCTGCTCTTATCTTTAAGCATATTACTTTTCCTTGCATCAACTTCAATGTTACTTCAACAAATAGTTTCTCTTAATAGACAGAAACCTGATCCATGATCAGTATCTGTCCACAGTGAAAAGTTTAATGTTTTGCTCACTCACTTATTGTTATTTAAGGTCACAACCTGTACCTTTTCTTTAGGAGGATTTTGGCATTTGCTAGTTACCATTTCTAAGCTGTGACAACAAACTAACAGTCCTGTTTGTGCAGTGTTGTGGAAATAACTCTGAGTCCACAGCCAGTTAGAAAACTTGTGCCTTGAAAAGTGGGCAAGGCTGGGACATCTTTAGATCTGTCAGGTCTTTCCTGACAGTGCAAAGCACACTCTGGACAGACAACCTCATTTGTGTTATTAATAATAATAAGAAGGAATGAATAATTGCAAGACAAACAACAGGAGCAATCATTTAATGTCATTGTAGTTGGCACTGTGTTTGACCCCCTAAAGAATTCCTTCATATAGGTCAGCAGGTTTCATGGTGCTCCCTCATGGGCTTATGTCTTGTTGTAAACAAAGATGTGTATGGCTGCTGTCACGGACAGCTTCAGCTGGCTCCTGTGGCAGAACTCTCTACCTGCAGCCATCAGTCCCTGTACCTGCAGGTCTGGCTGTCCCTCTGCCCTCAGGCACCCTGGCATGGGGCTGCTATTCCTCATGCATGAGTGGCTGGGAACTGCTAATGCATTTCTCCAGAATGTCTTTTTTTTTAAAACCCCATCCCTCTTCAGATGGATGGTGTGCCTGACTTTTCCCCCCACAGCTTGTTCTCCCTCTCCTGCAGGTATCGCAATTACTGGGATTCCTTTTCCTCCCTCAGAGCTCTCACGGCTGCCTGAGCAGCGCTGCCGTCAAGTCCCACAGCCCCTTCTGATTCACTTCTTAGAGTTGAAATAGGGAATACTTAGAATAGTTAGAATATTTTAAATCGTGGGTCCCAGCTCAGGAAAGCACTTGATAACAGGAACACTATGTACATGCCTGACATTCATCTTGGCCTCTCAAGAGCTCTTTTTCAGATAGGTAAGTTCACCTGACTTCTAAGCAAGTAATGCTGGAGAGAAATGATCCTGCAAGCATCAGCTACAAAGATAAGAATCTGGAAGTGTCTGCAAATAAGCCTTGTTGTGCATGTGCTGTGTTCCTGAAGGAAGCTGCCATGAGGTTTAAACCACGGTTTATAGCACAAGATCTCGCACAGTGTGTGCAGGCCTGACCACCACCTCGAGAAGGTTTGTGGCATTTCCAGTAAACAGCTCCAATGATGCCGGGGAAAACCAGCAAAAAACCCAAGAGGTTCATCTTCTACAGAGATTTCCTAGTGCATTCCAGAGACCTGGATTCATTCCACTGTCCTGCAAGCTCCCACGGACCGAGTTACAACAACTGCTGGGCAGGGCCCTGGGGCACGGCCGGAGCGCGGCAGGAATGCCGCGGCTGTCACTGCAGCCGGGCGGGATCCATGGCCGCGGGGAGATGCGGGCCCTGTGTCACGGACCGGGCTGCCTCTCCCAGCCCTCCACCGCGGGAATGTCGTGTTACTTCACTTGAACCGCTGCCAGCGAGCCAGCGGGGGCACCCAGCAGCTCCACCTAGAAGAACCAGCTTGTCAGCTCTGAACAGAG